AATTCGGAACATATAGCCAAGAAGAAGCAAAAGAGCCTATCTTGCTCATTCTTCTACCCATCTTCTGGGTCATTAAGAGGGAGGAATAAGATAGCATTTGACGGCGTTTGTTCCTCTTTCCTATATTCTCTTATAGTTTTTTTGTTCAACTACTGTCCTTTTTTCTTTCAGGAAGACTTGGGGAACGTGCTTGATGTAATGAATCGCTGAATATGTAAGATGCATGGACTTCCTACTATTTACAGCAAAAATTGGTTCATTTAAAAGAGTCGGAAATTAGAAAGTTTTCCTTTTGTATAATTACATAACAAAGAATACTCAGCAAATGGTATTCAACAACAAATGAGACACTCGAGGAACTACAAGGTACCTTCCGAGGCTCAAAGAATGCTGCCTTATTGACGCACTAAATCTCTGATGCTTTTTTTATGATGATCATTGTGTAGATGCCAAATCCATATTTTATGCATTGGGTTATTGCAAACCATGAAATTCAGGTTTTACTTTGCATGTTCTTCATCTTCTCTGCTGTTTGTTCTACGTAGAATATGGGTATCTTTTGCTGCCTATTGGATTTATAGTATTTTAACTTCTGTCCTCTTGTTCCGTAACCGTTTATCTATAAAATCTTTTGTATTTTAAAAAGAACTGTAGGGTTCTTTTCATAGAAAATGAACTTGAGAGTGTAAGGCTTGAATTATGTTATGTGTTCGTGTTTTTTCACGTGTTGTGATTTAATTGAATTTCAAAAAATATTTAAAAATATCGTTGTTCTTTTCAGCATGGAAATCCATTTGCAAATGAATTCTTTATTCAATGAAATGAGGTTTTATTATTCATTTGTTCCTATCAAAGCCTTACAGGCAAGAATTAGGTCAACTCTGAAAATTTTTGAGAGGATACTCAGATCGGTCTCTTTCTTGTATCATTCGTTTGTGTTTGAATTGTCTTAGATATCCTGTATCACAGGTAAGTTTATCCCGTCTGTGATCTATTGTTCTTGCTTCTGGTAGCAGATTCATGTGCACACACATCCTCTATTTGTTTGGGTAGAAAGAAAACGATTTTTTCATTGATGTTACTGAGGATTACATTATTCATTGTCTGATACGACTTGACTGGAGCATAATACGACTTGACTGGGACATAAGGAAAAGGAAAAGACATAAACGAAACTCTAAACCAGCAAAAATGAAAACAGATTAAACCCTAATCCATCTGTGGATCTTTTTCTTTGTCTATCCCTGACAAAGGTTCTAACTTGCATTCATGCAGATGAGGAGCTTCCGGTTCCTGGATCTTGATTGCCATCTTTCGAGTGATCTCCATTTCCTGGACAAACCTTTGATGCCTGCTTGGCAGCTGCAAATTGGAATCATACAAACAGAGTTAGGTCCTTTAACTTCTTTTTTCGAGAAAAAAATTTAGTTAAATTTATGAAATCCATGCAGTATGCTAGATCTTGTTATTAAACGAGAGTCTATTCACCTTGCTTCCTCTCGTCCCTCTTAATCTGTTGGTAAGTCCTGAGGTAAATGTTTATTACCTCCGCAGCCTATAGGTAGAAAAATCAGTAAAAGATAGTGAATCCGATAAGACAAGATGAGCAGGAAAAACAAGTTAGTGAAGTAGGTCTAAGTTTACGAATATATATGGACATATTACCATCCTTGTTTTGTCCAAGTTTTGTTCCTCTAGGCGCCTTATCTCACGCTCCATTCTCTCTATATATGGCTGAAAAACAACAAAAGGAAAAAGGGTCAGTATTTTCTTTTCGTGTGTGTTCCTATGGGCCTAGATATACATACCTACCCATACCTATACCTATCACATATTATTACAGAAAGCAAGACAAAGAGAGACTCTGCAACCTGATGCTCCTGTGGCTCCTTTGATGATTTGGCTGCCCTTGTTTCTGGGGATAACAACAAAGAATGGCCATCCTGCTAAGGGATGGTTTAGTGGTGGGGTCCTCCTCCCTCTTCTCTCCCCAAACCCCCCAGGACAATCTCCCACTTTCGCAGTCTCTCCGTTGACTCCGACTTCTTCGACGGATTTGCCCTCACCCCCTCCGTTCCTCCCCCTGATGACAGCTTTGGCGGGAAAACCTCTTCGGCCGGGGGAGAGAAGAGACCGTATTATCACAGACGCAGTAATTCCATGGATGGAACGAGTTCGGCGTCGTTTGAGCTTGACTCAATTTTGGGTATGGATGGTATGAAGAAAGCTATGGCTCCAGATAGACTTGCCGAGCTCGCCCTTGTTGATCCTAAGAGAGCTAAACGGTAAAGTTCCTTCTTTTATTTTATTCTTTGGTATAATAACTATTGCTTAAATATTGTTTTTACTGTATA